CCCTAAACCTAAACCCTAAACCCTAAACCCTCAACCCTAAACTGACCCCAAACCCAAGAAACACAAGATGAGTCAGGGCAAGATGAGATGCGTGAAGCCGACTCGCGTGAAAGTGTCTTCCTTCGTTTGCCAGGAACCTCCCATGGGCCGTGAAGTGTAAGGCAGGCACTCAGATGATTGATCGCACAGGCAGCTGAGTACTCGGTTTAGGTTTTAGGTTTTAGGGTTTAGGGTTTAAAGGGTTTATAGGGTTTAGGGTTTAGGAGTCCCCGTGCCAGTGAAGCACATACCCCTAAAGGGTCCGTGTAGCTACGCCCCCCGAAACCCCCCCCCCCCACCCTCCGCCCCCCTCCCCCCCGCGACCCCCCCCCCCCCCCGGTTTCGCCCACCGCGCCCCCCCCTACCCCCCCCCCCACCCCCCCCCCCCCCCCCACCCCCCACCCCCCCCCCCCCCCCAACCCCTGGGTAGGCTTGAGGACGTTTTCGGGCTTGGGTGCAGAAGTTGAGGTTAGAGTAGACCTAGGACTTTATTAGTCCAAAGGTTTTGGATTTTTAGAAACCGAACTCTAAAGCGCCTAAAGTCTTCGCGGCATCATTGCTGAGGTCCCCAGCTCTGCCATCAGTGCCTGCGAGCTGCACGCCGCCCTTGAGAAATTATAGGTATAAGGGTTTAGGGTTAGGGTATAGGGTTCTAAGGGAGGGGGGGTTCAAGGCGGGGTAGGTAGCTGGGAACCTTAAGGAGGCTTAGGGAGCTTAGGGAGTCGTGGGGAGGTTACATACCCCCCTAAACCCTAAACCCCTAAACTCTAAACCCTAAAACCCCCCTTGAACCCCTTTCCCTGAAGAACCCTTTAGTAAGGGCTTCGGGCTTAGGGGCTTCGAGTTGAAATTTAGTTTCCCAAAAGAATCCAGGTGCGCTTAGAATGGGAGGGTTTAGGGCTTAGGGCTTAGGATTCAGGGTTCGGAGGGTTTAGGGTTAGGGAAGGTTCCTATAAACCCGACCTACCACCTGAAGTGCGTTTTAACCGGGGGGCTAGTCTTCCGAACATGCAACACGAGCAGCCGCGCCATGGTTCTGGCAAGCCGCGATGAAACCAAAGATGATAGGCTTTACGGGGGGGGGGGGGGGAGGTTCAAGGGGTTAGGTACCTAGGGAAGGAGTAGTGGGGAGTATTAGGGAAGCTTGGGTTATATACCTACCCCCCTTGAATCCCCCTCCCTTAAGAAGCCTATAAAAAGAGGTGACCAAGCCTCAGTTCACAGCCCTTTGGGGCTGATAATGTGTGAGTTGCTCCCCCCCCCTCCCCCCGCAAACAAAATCAAGCCCTGAACCCCTAAACCCTTGAACCCTGAAACCCTTAAACCCTTGCACCCTAAACCCTGAACCCACAGATCCTGAACCCTAAGCTTTTACCCTTGGCCGATCAGACTTTTTGGTTGCTGGTAGCAAGCCTTGACCGCCCTAAACCCTAAACCCTAAACCCTATATACTCTATGACCTTAGGGTTTGGATGTCCAGGGAGCATGAGGGTTGGCTTGGGGATTTTGTGCGTGCAAGCGAGTGTGAGTGGAACCCTGGACACTGGGCGTCCTCTTCCCTGAGCACGGTTTAGGGTTTAGGCTTTAGGCTTTAGGCTTTAGGCTTTAGGCTTTAAGCTTTAGGCTTTCTTCTCCACCACCAAGACCAAACTGACCGAGCACGCCTCTTCCTGGGTGCTTTAAGCCCTCTTGGTATTGATTGTGTTGATAGGAACTGCCGTGTTTCATGCTTTTTTTCATCATGCTTTTGATTCTTCGGCAGCATGGACTGTGTGGTTGCTGTGCTCATGCTGGTGAGTGGCATGACTGTCCTGACTCGTCCAGGGTTCTTACCCTAACATTCAGTGTATCTCATTATTATAAACTTGGGCCCCAAAGTCCCTATATAGGAAGTACTTCAAGGCCCCAGTATTCCTTATTTACACATGGACCCTTAGGGGTACAGCATAATGCACACGTGCTGTTGCTGCTTGGCGCCAAGCAGTCTAAGCTTGCGTTGATATTCACCGTTAGGCCACACACAGAGTAACCCTAAACCCTAAACCCTAACCCTAAACCCTTATTCCCTTCTTGTTAAGGTTCAGGCTCCCTTCGAACTTAGCCCCTGTAAACCGCAAACAGATTGAGACTCCCCGATGGGATTTTTTTGGGGGGCGCGAGAGGAGCTACCATTCAGGGTCTTCTCAGTGTACCCTATGGGTCCATGTTCCTGAATAGGAAATACTTCTGCCTTCAAGTACTTAGTTTAGGGTTTAGGGTTTAGGGTGTAGGGTTTAGGGTTTAGGGTTTAGGGGTTACTTCCTATACTTGGTAGCCCAGTGGTGCCCTTTTCCCGTTTTTTGGGCTCTGGGTTCCCTTATAAAGTACCTAGCCCCAAAAAGGTGCCCTTATATTAGTATAATTAATAAGCTACCAAATATAAGAACGTTATAGCCCAAATATATAATCATAAGATACATAAACCCTTAGGGATATTGAGAAACTTTGCAAGCCGAAGCTTTAGGTTTTAGGGTTTAGGGTGTTATTCTCAACTAGGGGGAGCTCCGTGGGCGCGTGTAGATGATTGTTGAATGCTTAGGGCTCAGTCTAGAGCTTTGAGGTTGTTTGTTTCGTGGTGTTGCGGGTCTAAGGTTAAGCGTTTAGGGTTGTCACAGCGTTTTTGAAGCGCCCAAGCAGAATCAAAGCAGCCCAGGAGGGGAGGTCACTGGTCGTTGGCACTTCATCTACTCGGCGTGGCACTAGATGCACGTGCAGCTCCGATCATGCTGTCGATGTTTAGGGACCCAAGAGAAGCATTGTAGGACTTGATCGGGTTTAGGGTTTCGAGTGCAGCTCAGGCTGGTAGCACCCACCATACCATCACTTAAAATCTGCGCAAACTTTTCCCACCACTACATGCAGTAGTTACAGGCCCACAGCTGCTGCACCCTAAACCCTAGTTAGCCAGAATTGCAGCAGCCTTCCAAATCCAAAACCCAAAACCCTGAATCTTCAAAGTACCTTCAAATTAGGGCGAGTAGCTTTCGACGGAGCCCTTAGGACTTTGGGATCGGGTTAATTGGGCGGCGTTCTCTGTTCAACCCAACACCTTACAGCAAGACCCTGTAGAGTGTTCAATGCTTTTCTGCAACTAGGACCTTTGTTTTAAGAGCATCGAACCCTAAACCGGTCAAATTCGTGATCATGTCAAACGGGCCATCCTTATATACATATATATTTATGTTCATTTATTCACATTTCTATTTAGATAGTGATTTCATATATAGACTGATTTAGTTTTGCGCAGTTGGCTACATGTTTCGTGTGTGTTTGATGTTTGTTTGTTTTTGTAGCATGTAATAGTTGTTTGTCATCGTGATGTGATAGTGTTGATGCGTATGTTTATGTTTATGCTCATGCTTATGCTTGTTTTTGTGTTGAGACCCGCACGGTCTGTATTAGCACTAGTATTGGTTTGTTATCCTCTTTTCTTGTTTTCTACCTTACTATTGCTTGCAATATATGTATCTGTATATATATATATACACATATAAAAAATATATGTATGTATATGTTTTACTTTGTTGTTGGGGGGGGAAGGGGAAACCGTTGGTTTCAGGGTCCCGCGACCTCACATCTCAAGGTATGCCCGGGGACAATCGCTTGCAGCGCAGCCATCAGTGCGTGCAGCTTTGCCCAAGGGTTTAGGATTTAGGGTTTAGGGTCTAGGATTTAGGGTTTATAGGGTCTAGGATTTAGGGTTTAGGGTTTGTGAACAGCGGCTTTTTCTCCGGAAGCCAAAGCCGACTTCCTTTGTAGGTTTTTTTCTTAGATCAGAAGCGAGGTGTTTGGGGTCTTAACGTTTTTAGGGTTGGGTTCGGGAGTCAGGCTCAGCATTTCGGATTCAGGAATCAGGGAGTAGCTGCCTTTCCCGGCGCACACTCTAAGTATTGAGGTCTTTTTGCAAGGAGTCGCGCACGCTCTCTTCGCCTTAGGGTGTGGGCGTACCAGACATTGGAGTCTGCACAAGGTTTACAGTATTGGGCCTCTTTGGGCCTTTCAGGAGGGACGTTCGGCCTCCTGCATTCGATCACGTCCCCGCCCCCAAAAAGACCTGCGCACACTTGATCATTGCCATCGCTGCTGAGGTCTCCGTGATTCGTGGGTCTGGAATTGAATTCTAGAATGCAAGAATGCATTCTAGAACGCCTATCTGTTACAATGTTGTCCAATACTAAATTGTTTAAAAAATGTACTATGATATTCAAGAACTGCTTTTCGTTTTTTATAGTCTGTCGTGATGACCTAGTAATGCTCTGACCTTCATCGTATAGTAGTGTTAATAATGTAGTACTCCAAAATTCCAAGGTTGCAGTCTTCGTGTATCGTAAATTCTTTAGATTACAGCATTGCTGGATCATGGTTTGCAGATTTCAGGGGCTGCCCGCGGTTTGATGACCATGGTATGTGAAGTTTTCACTGGTCTGGTTTTTGGAGGCTTGAATATATGGATCCTTATAATGTATATATGTATATGGAGCACTGCTTAGTGCAAACATACGCTTCATGTGCACAAACAACCCTACCTCGCGTCTGAGATGTTGCTGCATCTTTTCTGACCAGGGGGAAAGGATGAGGCCGAGGGATCAAGGTCTGGGAAACCACTTTGTGACACTCAAACCCTAAGCCCTGAACCCCCTAAAGCCGAACTCCCGTAAACCCTCACTCTTAACGAGCTCAGGTGAAAAATCAGCACAGTGGCAAGCTGCATTGTGCTTGCGGCGTGGCTCGCGTGAAGCCCCTCCTGTCCCCCCCCCCCTTCCTGCCTCCCCCCCCCCTTCCTGCCTGCCTCCCCCCACCCTCCCCCCCACCCCCTGCACACCCCTGCTTCAAAAGCAGAATGAAGCATGCCATGCCCAGTCGATACTTTACCTCTAAAAACCTGGTTGCTCACCTTTACGCCGCAACCAAGGCTGGACTTCATGACCGCCCGTTCCATTGTCTTGGATGTCATCGTCTGCAGCGTGACCCGGCGGAATGCAAGCTGCGCGCTTGCGTCCGTCCCAGTCCTCAGAGTTCATCCCCGAAGCCCAGGGCCCTAAGCCCTAAGCCCTAAGCCCTAAACCCTAAACCCTAAACCCTAAACCCTAAACCCTAAACCCTGAGCCCTAAGCCCTAAACCTTGAGATGAAGTTTGGTTGTGGGGTGTCATTGGTGGTTCAGGGCTCCCGAAACCTGGGCCTTGGGACGATGGTCACTTCTTTAACTCTACGGGTTCAAAGTATGGGCCCTGTGGGAGGGGCTACAGGGTTGGCGGTTGCCCTTGGCCATGTAAAACGTGTAATCGGTAGAGAAGTGCCCAGTCTTATGGGTGGCTCATGCTACACAAGTTCATGGTCCCTTTTTGGGTTCACTCTTGCCGGCCTTGTGGCCCAGGATGTCCCACCCGAAAGGTTTAGGAAATCGGGTTTTTTGTGTCTAAGCGGTAGCTGGCAAGACCAGCCCTCGACCTTGCGATTCTAGATAGACAGCCACAGGATTGTGAGGTTGCCGTAGATGAAAGTGTGAAGAAGAGAGTTGCTGTATTTCCCTAAGCCACACCCCAAAAGCTTTGGCGCCTAAACCCTAAACCCTAAACCCTAAACCCTAAACCCTAAACCCTAAACCCTAAACCCGGGAAGCATCCCAGGCGCTCATCAGCGCCTGCGACAAAGGTGGGCAGTGGCAGTTGGCTCTTCGCTTCCTGCAGGAGGCAGGGGGAGTGGCTTTAGGGCTTTGCTTGTTCTGTTCAATCCTAAACCCTAAAACCTAAACCCTAGACCCTAGACCCTCAACCCTAGATCCCAAACAGTGGGAATAACAAAGCTTACCCGTAGTAAGGCACTCTGCACTTGCCCTTAGCAATCCCAAGCCGACATTTGTTGTAGGCTATTGTTGGAAAACCCGTAGAATCCGTAGGTATTCAGGTAGCGTATACAGTACAAGCAAGTAGGTTTCCCAGAGGCTCCGATATCTCTTGGCTAAGGCATCTTCCTTAGAACCATATCTTAGATCGCCAAAGCCATCTGCGCGCCCATGTGCTCATGGGTTACGTGCTCGGGCGCTAAAGGGCTTCCTATATAGTAGCTTTAAGGCTTTAGGCTTTAGGGCTTAAGTATATTCGGAGGCACATGGACCTTTTCGGAATCATGGGATACCAGAGGCTCCGGGATTGAGTTCTTTGGTTTGGGGTTTAGGGTTTAGGGCTTAGGGCTTGGGGCTTGGGGTTTAGGGTTTAGGGTTTAGGGTTTGGGGTGTCTTAGTCAGGGTTTAGGGTGTCTTTGTCAGGGAATGCCTGCAGCGACTGTGGATGCCAACATCGTCGCCTGGAATTCCGCGTGTCGGCAAAATTTGGCCGAGCCGTCCGCGGCGCTCTTCAACCCTATAAGCTCTGAACCCGTTTCTTGTTTAGGGTTTAGGTTTTGGGGTTTAGGGTTTAGGGACCCCTAAACCCTAAACCCCTAAACCCTAAACCCTCTAAATCCTAGACCCTAAACCCCCAAGCCTCTCAAAGTCTGCTGCCGTAAGTGTCCAAGGCCATGAGCGCCACCGAGCGGGCGATGCAGTGGCCGAAGGACGGAGTTGGGGTTGAGGGGTTCGGGTTTCGGGTTTCGGGTTTAGGGTTTAGGGTTTAGGGTTTAGGGCAAGTTTAGGGTTTAGGTTTTCGGGCTTAGGGTCTAGGGTGTAAGCTTGAGGGTTCAGTGACCATGCAAGGCTACCAAAACCACCTATATATCCCCATGAACAAATATGGCTCCTGTAAGATTTGGAAGGCATGGACAGCTTTTGTTTTTTTTCGCTCCGGCACGACCCTAAATCCGAAACCCTAAACCCTAAACCCTAAACCCTAAACCCTAAACCCTAAACCCTAAACCCTAAACCCTAAACCCTAAACCCTTCTTGAATCTGTGATCCAGCGAGTATGACATAGTTGACAGTCGCAACCGAAGGGCTCTGAAGTCTTAAGGCTCCTATGGAGCCCAAAGTTATAACAGCCCTAACCCAAACCCCCAACCCTAAACCCTAAACCCTAAACCCTAAACCCTAAACCCTAAACCCTAAACCCCCAACCCTCAACCCTAAATTCTAAACCCCCTCCCAGTTACCCTAAACCCTAGACCCTAAACCCCACACCTCAAACTCTCCCCCAAGTTAAATAGACGTATTTCGGAGTCTTTCTGAAGGCCCCTCAACCCTAAATCCTAAACCCTACCCTAAACCCTGAACCCTGAACCCTAAACCCTAAACAAACATGACATAATTCGGAGTCTTTCTGAAGGCCTTGTCCTTGCTCTTCACCCTGGGATCTATGCGCCTCGATGCTGCTCGACGTCGTGGCCTTCAACTGGGGTAAATGGCTTGGGGGTTTAGGGTTTAGGGTTTAGTGTTTAGGGTTTAGGGTTTAGGGTGGGGTTTGGGGTAAATGGTTTGGGGAAATGGTTTGGGGTTTGGGGGAAATGGTTTGGGGGAAATGGTTTGGGGTAAATGGTTTGGGGTTCAGGGTTTGGGGTTTGGGGTTTGGGTTTTGGGGTTTGGGGTAAATGGTTTGGGGTTTGGGGTTTGGGGTTTAGGGTAACTTGGGTTTAGGGTTTAGGGAGTTTAGGAAGTTCGGGGTTTAGGGTGTAGGCATTTTAGGCTGAGTTTAGGGTAACTGTGGTTTTGGAGTAATTGGGGCTCAGGGTTTGGGGTGCAGGGCTTATGGCTTTTGTGGCTGTTTAAGTTCTTTTGTCAAAGGCCTGGGCCACCGAAGCCAGCCACCCCTAAACACAGATTTAGTAGGGTCTAGGGTTTAGGGTTTAGGGTTTAGGGTTTAGGGTTTAGGGTTTAGGGTCTAGGGTTTAGGGTTTAGGGTTTAGGGTGTGGGGGCTTTTCTTCTGGTCCCCAGGGCTCGCATGGGAATAGGCCTCCCAAGAGGAACCCTGATTTAGGGAACCTGCCGATTTCACACCCATGGCCGAGGCGACTGTGGAAAGCTACAGCTGCAGTGTCAGCGCGAGCGGCAAACGAGGAACCTCCCTCGCTCTTGGGTTTAGGGTTTAGGGTTTAGGGTTTAGGGTCTAGGGTTTAGGGTTTAGGGTTTGGGGTTTAGGCAAACGAGGAACTGGGGCTGTTCGGGGTGCGTATCGATGTGAGGCGGCTTGGGGTCGAGGATTCCCACCCAGAAGCTGTTAAGCCTTGAACCTTTCTCTGTAACTGTAACTGTAAAGCCTGAGCCCTTTTTGTAGCCCACTGTATAAACCGCACAACCCTTAAGAAACGAAAAGAAACTCACATGAACTCTAAACCCTTCACCCTTTTACAAGGCATTCATTACAATTTGCTTAAGACTCCCCCCCCCAAAAAAAAAACATAAAACAAAAAAAAACATCTTCCCCGCAATGGTATTATAGGGATTATCATTTTTTAAACGTTTCTTGGGGGGGGGTTCTTAAGCAAATAGTAGTTGGTTGCAAGGCATCGAGGCTTGAGGAGGGACCCTTGGGAGGCCAGTGGCCATGGGCTTTGCGGCTCTTCGCAAGGATGGCCGATCGGCAGGCAGCTTTGGTGAACACTTAGGGTTTAGGGTTTAGGGTTTAGGGTTTAGGGTTTAGGGTTTAGGGTTTAGGGTCACTAAAGTCATGGGTTCCCCTATGACCCCCCTCTACAGGGTTTAGGGTTGAGGGTTCAGGGTTTCGGATTAAGGGTTTAGGCGTACTACCCCCCGAGAGCCCTCAACCCGAAACCCTTAAGAAGCCCCAAGCCAAAACGAAGCCCTTCTACAACCCTGAACCCTAAGCACCAAATCCTGATGAAGCCCTAAAACCCTAAAGCCGTTCAACCCCCAAAGCTCCAAAACACCCACCTTGGGGTAGAGCTCCTGAGCCTGAAGCACTGGCTAACCCTAAACCCTAAACTTCTAACCCTAAACCCTAAACCCTAGACCCCTAGAACCCTAAACCCCTAGACCCCTACAAACCAGAAAAACCTAAAACTAGGTAGGCCCTTGGGATGTTCGATATTTTCCTTTGCTGGATGTTCGTTATTTCACCTGTTGGGATCAAAAGGACCGTGTTCAGCAATAAGTTCCAGAGGGCGATTTAAGGGGCCAAACTAGCAAGCCCTCACCCTACCTTCCTGCAGCCCTTTACCTTATCGCCTAAGACCTAAACTCCAAACCCCATAAACCCTGAACCCTAAACCCTAAACCCTAAACCCTAAACCCTATACCCTATACCCTAAACCCTAAACCCTAAACCCTAAACCCTAAACCCTAAACCCTAAACCCTAACCCTGAACCCTGAACCCCGAACCCCAAACCCACCCGGTGGGACCCTAAACTCTCAGCTTGTAAACCCTGTCATCACAGCCTTGCTCAAAACCCTGAGCCTTTTGAACCTTAAGCCTGCAAACCCTGAACCCTGAACCCGAAACCCTAAACTCCTAAACCATTAAACCCTAAACCCTCAACCCTAAACCCTAAACCCTAAACCCTAAACCCTAGACCCAACAGAGCCCGACATGCTTCTCGGCATGCAGTTCGTAGACTCCCAACAGCCTTGCAAGGAACCCCAAGAGCCCTTGTAAATGAATGTGGGGTTTAGGGTTTAGGGTTTGGGGTTTAGGGTTTAGGGTTTGGGGTTTAGGGTTTCGGGTCCAGGGGGCTTAGGGTGTAGGGTTTGGGGTGTAGGGGTTTTAGGGTTTGGGGTACAGATGCACCAAAATGACTTTGCAACAGCTTTCAGGCCCGAGTATGCCCAGAGGACCTTCGCGGGTTTCGGGCAATTCCAAGGGTTTTGGGGTTTAGGGTTTAGGGTTTAGGGTTTAGGGGTTCGGGTTGGAGTTTGTCGGCCTAGGTGGAGAGAGACCTGATCACGATCAACAGCCTCGTCACCTCTTGCGTCCTCATGTGGAGTGCCGGCAGCGCGCTGCAGGCACGGGACTTTCTTCGTGGAAACAGGGTTGAGGGTTCAGGGCAACAGGGAGCGCCCTCCCCTAGTTTTAAGTAGAGTCATATAAGGACTTAATTAAATTGGGTTATAAGGCTCCTGACTTAGGTTCCTTAACTACAGTTAGTACAGTAAGACGGGCCCGCCTTGTATTTGATTTGGGGTAGTAAGCGTCTAGATGAAGGTTTTTGAGGTTTTGGTTAGGTCTTTGCAGTGAACGCATAGTGTAGCGGGTCCAATGGCTAAACCCCAACCCCCCCCCCCCCCCCCCCCCCCCAAATCCTATTCTAACTATCAATGCCCCTATCGCTACACTGTTGCATTTGCGACGCCTTCACCCTGCTAAATGGGGTTCAGCGTTGTATGTTTATGCATGTCAACCCTAAACCCTTAACCCTTAAACCCTCGACCCTAAACCTGGCTTAAAACCCGAAACCTCAGACTCCATAAGCCCTTCACTCCCAGTCGCTCCTTACTTACCCTGTCTTTTTGTTGAGGGTTACAGGGCGAACTTCCAGCAGTTCCACGTACTACAGACCGACCAACCGATCGTCGGTCTAGGGTTTAGGCTTCGGGATTCAGGATTTAGGGCTTAGGGTTCCTGAAGCGTGCTGAGGTTGTGAAGGATGTGCAGAGCGACAACATGCGGCTGGCCCGCAACGAGGTTTTTTTGGGTTTTAGGGTATCTGCGCCCCAGGCATCGAAGACGGAAACGGTTTTGGGGTTTTGGGTTTAGGGTTTAGGGTCTACGGTTTAGGGTGCAGGGCTTAATTAGGGTTTAGGGGTTATGAGGGTTTACGGTTTAGGGTTTAGGTTTATTGAAGGCTGCTGGCCTTAGCGGTTGATGTAGGAGTGGTCTGCCGAAGCTGGGCTTGCGATGTCCTGGGACAGGAAGATGACACGCACAGTTTAAAGGGTCTATGGGGTTTATGCTTGAGGGTTTAGGGTTTGGTCATGTCGGTTTCATGGCTGTATGGGCTTAGGGGATTTGGGTTTCAGGGTCTCGGTTCACCCGAAACCCTAAATCCTCAACTCAGCCCGTCCCTCAACCCTCAACCTTCCACACTATAAACCTAAACCCATGCCCCACCCTTCGCCAGGGATCTGGATGCCTGCGTCTTGCCCAGTCTCGTGGAGGCCTACACCGACATGCGCTGGGAGCCGAGAGGGTTTAGGGTTAAGGGTTTGGGGTTTAGGGTTTAGGGTTTAGCGTTTAGGGCTGGAGAGACAGCGGAGAAGGCTCCCCCTAAAGGGCCCATAATGTGAAGAATGCCCGAGTCTGCAGTTCACCAGCCGTATATTGGTGTAGAACCGGGCGTTGCTTGAAGCACTTTCGAGAAGCACAGGCATCTGAGAAGTCCACTGACGTCAGCCCTAAACCCTAAACCCTAAACCCTAAACCCTAAACCCTAAACCCTAAACCCTAAACCCGCAAAAGGCGTTCGGGCTACTCCAGGTTTTGGGGTTCAGGGTTGATTGAGGGTTCAGATGGTTTATAGGGTTCAGGGTTCAGGTTTGGGGTTTGAGTATGTAGCCCTAAGGGTCCATGTGCCTTATTATTATATACTTAGACCCAAAAGTCCTTATATAGGAAGTACTTTAAGGCCCAAGTATTCCATAATTAGGTACATGGACCCTTAGGGTAGGGTAGGATTTGAGGTTTATGGTCTTTCAGCTTTGAGCTGAGGGTCTTGGGGGATCTCTTTTGGAGTTTGTTCTGTTGCTTATCACTCTCTCTCACCCTCCTTGTCTTTCTCCCTCTCTCCCTAAACCCTAAATCCTAAACCCTTAACCCTTAACCCTAAACCCTAAACCCTAAACCCTGGAATCCCAAATGGCCTAAGGTGACGGTGTGGCCGCCCTGGACATCTTGGGAGATGTCCGTAGGACGCTGAAGGAACGACTGGGCCGCGGCCGGTAGGGCCGAGGGTTGAAGGATTAGGGGGTTTAGGGTTTAGGGTTTAGGGTTAGAGCTTCCGGAAAGGTCCATGTACTAAAGCTACTGCATGAGAACCCTCTAAGGACAGAGCAGATACCAAACCCTGATCTCTGTATACTATAAACTATAAACCGCCCTAAGCCCTAAGCCCTAAATACTAAACCCTACACCCTAATCAGCACTCTTGATCCGAAGCCGAATGCATTGCGCCCACGTGCGCACTCGTGGGGGAGGGAAAAGAGCCGCTTCCGAAACGGATCCGCAGTCGATGTCCAGGGTCCTCCCCGCCTGTAGCCGCAGGTCCGATTTCAGTGTGTGGGGGTTAGGGTTTAGGGTTGAGGGTTTAGGGTTTAAGGTCCAGCCTAAAAACTCTTTTCGTCGGGAAGGAAAGAGATGTTACTGTATGGCGATCGCCACCTCAAGAACTACTTTAAACTAAATGGACTATGCTAAAACCCTTCCTTACCCAAGGTTACCCTCCAACTCTTGTCCTAATGAAGCCCTAAGGTGGGGATGTTCGAAGTAAAATGATTAGTTTATGTAAGCCCGGAAATGCCTTAATGGAATAGAAACCCTCAACGCAGCAGGCGCCTGACGGAGCTGTCAACTAGCATGACAATCTCCCTCAGAATGTAGGGCCTTGATGTTCCCAAAGCCTAAGTTCTAAGCCCTAAACCCTAAACCCTAAGCCTTAAGCCCTAAACCCCATGCCCTATAAAGCCCAACTTCCTAGAATGCAAACACACACAACCCTAGAGTGACCCCAAACCCCAACTTCCAGAAGTAGCCCAAGCCCTATACCTCAATCCCGATAGTTACCCCAAACCTGATAGGGTTTAGGGTTTAGGGTTTAGGGTTTAGGGTTTAGGGTTTAGGGTTTAGGGTTTAGGTTTAGGGTTTAGGGTTTAGGGTTTCGCCAAACCTCAAACCCTTAACCCTGAAACCATAACCCCCGCACCCAAGCTTTAGGTCACTAATCCTTGCATGCTCTGCCAATTTTTCAGAAGCTCAGGCTGCGTGGGGTCAGATCAAAAAAGAACAATACAGGACCCTGAAACTTACCACTATTGGAAAATGGCCAAAGATTTGCGTTCTAGTTGAAATAGGCCCCTTTCATAGCGGCTTGCTGGACCTGACCCCACGGAAGACGTGCGCGCCCCGGACGTGTGCCGCTGCCTCCTACTGAGTAGCCATGGCACCGTTTGCGCAGCCAGCGCCGTCACTCTGTCGTGGGCTTGGTATCGGAAGGTTTCAGTCCTGCTGGGTGAGGGCTATAGGGTGGGTGGCATATAGGGTACTCCAGCTTTTGCTGACCCAAAACCGAAAAAGATCCAAGCCCAAGCATGCCCCAAAGCCCTAAAGCCCCCCCCCCCCTAAAGCCCTAAACCATCCTAAGCCCCAACACGCTGCACCCCTTAGCCCTGAAGACATACCGGCGCCGGCTACTTCTGAGCAATACTGGCAAGCACCAAGATTTTGCAATTTACGGCAGGTACTACCTTCAGCCTTCTTAGGGGTACACACAACAACACTGATAGCAATAGCGTTCATTTCACGACGAGGCCTTTTTTTGGACCGACCCCTTCCCGTGGCGGAAGCAGACTCTAAGCGAAGAGTCAGGTCTCTCCCTGCGCGCAGTGACTGTGCTGACCTCAGGTGAAGACGGTGAAGAGGTTCAGGTTCTGGGGTTTACGAAAGTAAGGGACCCCTAACATAGACCCCAAATACTAGGACCCCTTAGAAATAAGGACCCCAACTAGGTACCCCCAATATCGGAAGCCCTCTTATCGCGCTGAATGGAGGCACTCCGTAACCATGTTGGCATGGGACGGTGGCAAAGGTGTGTATAGCGTCAATCATTGCTATCTCCGCTCGTGAGCCCAGTAGCGATGGCAGCCTACTCGGTCCCCAAATCGTTCCGCAAATCATAAACCCCCAAAACCAGTAAATCTGGGAGGTGTAGGCCCCCACAAAGTGTAGCCCTAAACCCTAAGCCCTAAGCCCTAAGCCCTAAGCCCTAAACTTGAGTCTACTGGCTCCAAACCTGATGCCCTGGAAGCACCCTCATGCTGGGAGTCTTCCTTGAAAAGCCCACGGAACCCAAAAAGCCAAAAAGCCAGGATGCCGTGGGGGACCCTCGTTCCTTTTTTTTGGGGGGTGGGGGGGGGGGTGGGGGCGGCGGGCTTTGGTTCCCTTATAAACCCCTTGAAGCAAAAAAAGGGCACCCTTTTCTTCATCCTAACTGGGCAACCTAGAAAGTGGGCGCTAAGCCCGTATATTTCTTAGTCCTAAGATACAGGGCAACCTACATCCTTCAAGCTCGCGCCACGATTCCTGGGGATGTTAGCCTCCGACCTGTTTCGACTTATCAGGTTAGGCTTCTAGCTAGGCCCTTGGGACACGTTATATTTTCCTTACTTGGGTTTAAGAGGATCGAATTCAGGAGTGTTTTTCAGAGGGTTTTAAGGGCCTGGGCCTCGGGAGATTTGCACTGTAGGGCTTCTGCCTTGAGCCGGATCCTGGAACCCGAAAGCCTAAACCCTGAACCCTGAACCCTAAACCCTATACCCTGAACCCTAAACCCTAAACCCTAAACCCCAAACCCCAAACCCTAAACCCTAAACCCTAAGCCCTCGCGAGGCTCTGCTGGTGGCGACAGCCGCTGTCGCCGCCGGCACCGGTCACTGCTCGACGCCGGACGGCACCGGGGTTGCAATGTTGCCCATAACTTAGGGTTTAGGGTTTAGGGTTTAGGGTTGTCTTAGGGTTTAGGGTTTAGGGTTTAGAGTTTAGGGTTGGAATGTTCCCCCATACACTCGCAGCCCTTAGTAGGGGTTATCGTACCCCGTAGTCTAATCCCCACTAAGGACCTGTTAGTATAGGGGGGAGGGGAACATCTCAAAGCTCAGGGTTTTTGGGTCTTGGGGGTGTGGAGTCTGTGTTTTTGTGCACAGGAGGTCTGGTCTTTTCTGCGTTTCAGAGTTTGAGCCAGATTTGGGTTGAAAGGCTTCGACCTCCGAATCACCTCAATGTGTATGTGTATATGTGTAAGCACTATTGTTACTGTTGCTAATATTATAGCTGTACTGATTCACTGTTCTTGCCATTTCCCAATTACCCAGCACTCGCCTCAGGTCTTGATTGGGCAATGCCGCCTGCCTGCGTGCTGAGTTTCGAGGGTCAGGCTAGTGGTCGTTCAGATGCTTTAGCGTTTAGATTGTCTCTGCCACCCCCCCCCCCCCCCCCCCCCCCGGCCCAAAACCCAAAACCCTAAACCCTACACCCTAAACCCTAAACCCTAAACCCTAAACCCTAAACCCTAAACCCTAAACCCTAAACCCCAAAACCTAAACCTGCACTCGCCCTCCCCAATCAAAAACCAAAGGCTCCCAAAGTCAAGCTCATTGCGTTTTCGGAGGAAATCTACCGACCTCAAGTCCCAACCCTAAGCTCTCCAGACTGACACCCTCAGCCCCTGAACTTCTCAAGCCCCTAAACCTCTACACCTCTACCTACCAAAACCCCTGAACTCCCAAAACCACTGATCCCTCAGTCAGCTCGAGTGCTGTACCCTAAACCCTAAACCCTAAACCCTAAACCCTAAACCCTAAGCCCTAAACCCTAAACCCTAAACCCTGGGGCGGGGGGAGGGCGCTTCCTTAACTTCGTGTCCCGTAGCGGGGTTTAAGTTCAAAGGTTCTCTGGAGCCCCAGGAACCTGAAACCCATCATCATAGTGCCCTAAGCCCTAAACCCTAAACCCTAAACCCTAAACCCTAAACCCTAAACCCTAAACCCTAAACCCTAAACCCTAAACCCTAAACCCTGAACCCTACAGACTAAGAGTATGAGTAGTCCGAGGAATCGTAAGAATGATGAGAATACATGCTTTAAGGTTTAGGGTTTCGGGTTGTCATCTTGATCACCAAGCATGAGAACCCCGAAAGGCATCCAGAGTTGGTCGCTCCACCTGCTACACTTTTAGAGTTTCGTGTCTTTAGGGTTTAGTTTTTTTTTTTGTTTTTTTTTTTTTTTGGGGGGGGGGTTAGGGCTGCAGGGTTTTAGAGTTTTTGAAATTTTGGGGTTTTAGAGTTTTTGAATTTAGGGTTTTCGGTGTTTAGGGTTTAGGGTTTAGGGCTTAGGGGTCTTCAACTGTAAGCCCTACTAACCCTAAACCCTAAACCCTAAACCCCCTACACCCGCAACCCTGGGCGTGCCTAGGTCCCGATGCCCAGAGAATGGTACAGCGGGCTGCAAGAGCCTGGACTTGCGCCTTGTCTCGCGGTTTAGGGTTTAGGGTTTAGGGTTTAGGGTTTAGGGTTTAGGGTTTAGGGTTTAGTATTTAGGGTTTGAGTGTTTTGGGATTAGGGTTCATAGGGTTTAGTTTGCAAGCCCAAAACCCCAAGACCTACGAACCCCCAACACCTTGTACCCTAAACTCTACTCCCCCTCAATCCGCAACTCAAAGCACTAAAAATGACCTGAACCCAAGCAGTCCCCCTAGATGCCAGCAGAGTTGCAAAAGCCCTCAACTGGGTTCTAGGTATGATGCTTGTACTCTAGTAGAGTAAGGGCTCTTCAACCATAAACCCCTTGTTGTAAACCCTTAACCCTAAAACCCTAAGCGTAAACCCTAAGCCCGAAGCCCCAAGCCTAAACCCTGAGCCCTAAGCCCTAAGCCTTAACCCTAAACCCTAAGCCCTAAGCCCTAAACCCTAAACCCTAAACCCTAAGCCGGAGCCCCGGCGAGGCAAGCTGACGACCACAAGCTGCTGCTTGGCGACTGCCCTGGCGTGCCGGCGGCGCAGGCGGCAGACGTGACGCCTGGATGCAGGGTTTTGAGTTTAGGGTTTAGGGTTTCGGGTTTAGGGTTTAGGGTTTAGGGTTTAGGGTTAGGGCTTAGGGCTTAGGGTTTAGGGTTTAGGGTCACAGGAGGAGTTTGGGGTGCAGCGTTCAGGGCCTGCAGTGCAGGGTTCAGGCTTT